GAAATGTATTTATTGAGTCAATTGAATCATGATAAACTTCTTTTGATTTCTGCTGCAACCGGAGATAGATAGAATCTGATTAGGTTGTTAGAGCTTCTTTAATTGATAGGAGTGGATTGATTGTACGGGAGTCAGTCAATTCACTGCTTTGTACTGTAGTTTGTTTCCAGTAGTGGAGATCTTTGTGTATTGCATTAGCGTTCTATCCCGGTGAAGACTAGTCGTCTGCTGGGTATTCTGTCTGAGAGGGCTTGGTCAGCTTAAGAGATTCTAAGCTACTGTCGGATCTTCCGCAGTCTAATCAACGGTTAATCAACCAAAGGAAATTACAACTTGGACCTAACTAAGGAGCTGGGGGGGACTCATTCCCGAGTCACTCTTCTCTTACTGTTATCTTTCTGCTTTACTTTGAACTCAACTACATTTACTTAGTCTCGCTAGATAATAGATAATCACGGAGTAGGCAGTACATCTAGGCCTCGGGTTGATAAACTAAGCTTACCACTATTCTGCATTTCGGGACTGCGATTATACTTGGTTGCATTTTGGTGTTGTGTCATAGCGTGTCAACTGTGAACATTGAGTGCAAACCGTGAACTCATGCAAGTGAAGCGGTGCGTTTCGACATAATACTCTGTGTTCACGGATGCGTTGAAGAGTTCACGGCCGTGAACTGAGCCCGATCCTGGTATAAAATGTTAGCTGAAAGAAAGTAGGAGGGGAGCTTCATTTTTAGGTTAGGTTTTCATTTTCAGAATAAAGAGGATTCTAGTGAGAGGTTATGGTTTCTTCTAGAGGGAGAAAGTGCAAATCAAAGGAGATAGAAGGAGCTTTGGGCTTGTTCCTAGCTAGAGGATTGAAGATTTCTTCATCCCAGGGGTGTCTCAAGCAACAAGGAGGAAAGATTGACATCACTTCATGGTTATTTCTTCCCTTTTTGTTGTTTTCTCTTGTTTAGCTATGGAATAGCCTACCTACTCACCTGGGTATTGTGAACCCTAGTCTCTATGTGTGTTAGGATGTAAGAACATGAACCTTTTGTGTTGATTGAGTGTTTTATATAATATTTGAGGTATTATTCATGAATGATTGAGTGTGGTAGCTTTAACTCAATATTGAGTGAAATTAACCTAGAGGGTGGAAATCCCCTCTTGGTCCAATTAGGAGCTAGACTCCTTAGCCACTTGGGTAACCTCCTTTAGGTTAATTTAAGATCAAAATCTCAAATATCATAGTAGGGTCGTGATTCCACCGGGATAGCTCTCTCCGCCGACCTGATTAAGTTCCGAGGGTTTGGTTTGCCTTCCTTAGCTAGCTAGTTGAGACGGTTAGGTTTCCTAGCCCATCGTTGTCACCCTTAGCAGAAAGGTTAAGTGAGTTAGCTTTCTAACTTGTTGCAATGATTCTCAATTAGCTAACTAATAGAGTTAGGGATCTCCTTCGTTGATCGATAAAGAGGGCTAGGCTCTCTAGCTATGAATCACAATCCTTGACCTAATGGTTAAGAGAGCTAGTTCCCCAAGCTCATATTTGTTGATTTTCCTTCATTGATCGACTAAGGGAGTATGTCCCTAACTAGTTGCACCCACATCGCGGTGTATGAACACGTCCTTCACACTATAGCTTTGTTTGTCGCTTCTTAGCATGAGACTAGGGGGGGACAATACCCGGGTGAAGCTCTCTCAAGTAGAATTCTCCTCCATTTACTTTCCTTACTTGTTTTCATTTGTAGTTTTCATAGTTATAAACTCAAAACTGTTTTGCTAGATAACAACTTAAGCTATTGAAGTGGGGGTACATGGACCGGCCCAGGTTTGATAATTAAATACTTGCCCTATACTGCACCCGGCTAGAGTTTAAAACTTGGGCTCTAGTTGAGATTAATTTGTGGTGTAGTTTCGAGCGTGTCAAAAAACTTTTCGGAGTCATCACAAAATAGAAAGAACTAAACAGTGTTGGTCAACAAGTCATTGAGCTACCAAATAAACTATTTATATTGTCACAATATGAGCAATCCCATTATACATATGCGAGACGCGAAATGAAACGAAACTTGTTGTAGAAGAGCTAAGCACATGGCCTTCCTTTAGTACGCTAACTAGTGAGTTGGATAACAATAAATTTTACTATCAGGAGCTTCGGATGCTGGGTTTGTCCATTGTCAATATCTTGTTGGATTCTCTTCAATCTAGCTACTTTCCTTTTCTGAAAAGGTTGATTGAACGTACATCATTAATTCTTGTTGTACGTGCTTTTGCGCATGTACACCACATTTAAATTTAATTCGAACATCAACATGTTATTACTGTCTTTGTTCAATTGTTCTCCTTTCTTAGAGAGTTGAGAATTACACACCAATAGTACTGCATGCTTTTTAAAGAAGTCGATGGAGACCCAGTTGGAGAATCACTTGAGCCAACTTGGCTTCCCCATAATATCCTTGATATGATATCGATCTCTTTTGCTAATAGAATATGTATATAATTAGAATTAATTAGCATTATTGTACATGGTTCCATGCAATAATAATATGAATGAATGAACAGTTGTCCTTTATGCTAAAAGGAAGAAGATGCCTAATTCCCATTTTTACGTAATTGCTTCCTCGATCTCTTGGTTGATAAATTTCATAATTAGGCGGTCGGTCCATAATTAAATTGGCCAATTCGCACCTAACCCAAAAGATCTCTCCGTTGGTGGTGTGTTTAATTTACAATTACATGGCATATATGTTTTCTTTTTGTTAAAAAGTTTACAATACATATAAGTGTAGCTAATAGCTAAACTACTGTCTTCTATAAAAAAATAACTAGACTACTGTTCAATTCGGTTAAACCATACTGTATTGACTTGGTCTTCAGTGATTTTAATCGAAACCGGATCAAACATTTTTGGTATATTCGAAGACCAAAATGATTACTTTAATTTCCCCTAGTACGTCCAGAGATTGATAAAAAAATTCAACTAAACGACTCACATGCATTTGCCTCTTCTCGAGTGAAAAATGAGTTCCACTCAATTTCTCTCCTCTTCCCCCATGACATCCCTTCCCTAGTTCCGTTCGTCGTTCTAGTCTAAGATGAAGTTTTTGTTAAGTGGCATCGTCGTGGAGTCTGTTGATCTCGAGTCGACTGGGGGTAGAGAAGAGTTTAGGGAGACGGAGGAAACGACCAGACTCGAAAATATATAAGGTTGGGGTCTAGAGTAGTGGGGGAGATGCAGTGAGAGAGAATTGGGGGGGGGGGGGGGGGGTCCGGTGTTTCTCAGAGATCAGGTGGGTCGGATTGCTGGTCGTGGGAAGTTGGGTATAGGGTTGCTGAGCTGGGTGGTGGGTGGGTTGGGCATATGATGAATTTATTGTGATACGGTTTTTCAGTTTAAAACCAGACCGGATCGAAATGATTTTTTAACATCACCCACAACCAAAAACAGGTTCGATTGTATTACAACAAGATCGATTTATACGATCCGGTTTCCAATTTAACCGAAAAATCAGAAACCCAATCCCACCCATAGTACAAACTAAGAGATAAAGAGGAAGAGTGAGGCGTGAACAAAAGGGAAAGTAAACGAGAAAGGAAAGAAAAGAACAGTGAAGAGGAAGTGATGCCCATGGTCGAAGCTAGGGGTTAGGGGATATTTCTCCACAGCCATCCATTGGCATTGCAGATTTTATAATAAAGCAAAACTTACTTTTGAGTCCAACCAACCAACCAACAAACAAGCAAAATTCCTTCGACTCAGCTACGAACCACTCCACATGCGCTCCTCACTGAATGAAGAAGAATGAAACAGGAGACCTGTCCTGTCTCTTGTAATTGCGCCTTTGCTTTATTGAATTCTCCCTTCTGCTTGCAGCAGCTGGATTCTTTTCCAATATATACCCACAGACTACCATTCGCGCCCCGCGTTTGTGCATATCATATCATAATAATAACAACAATAAGACTACCAGCTGGCTGCAGGCCACAACTAAGCGCGCTCCTTTGGCTTTATCCTTAGCTAGCTAGGGCTAGCTTTCTGATATAGATGCTGATATATTGAGTTCATCATTGTAAAACCGCGTATTAGAGGTTATACCGGAAAAGTTAGTGGTATTATATTTTTGAAGTAAACTAGTTGGTCCCACTATCTTGAGTTATTGGACAAAAGTTGACCATGAATCTTATACCACATATTAACCCGCCTACTCAAACAAAAGTCACTCATACGGGGACACTAGAATTCAGACAGAGTACCTCTCAATCACTGAAGGCTCTGATACCGCGGTCATAAATCATCAGTTGATTCAATAGCTCGAGTTGTTGGACGAAAGTTAAATATGAATCTTATATCACATGCTAACACGCTCTCTCAAACGAAAGTGACTCATATTGGCTTTAAGTTTGCACATATCCGAAATACCATGTGCTTAACACAAATGTGGTCACCAAGGATTCGAAGAAAATACCTCTCAGTCACAGAAGTCTCTGATACCATGTCATAAATCAGCTGATCCAATAACTCGAGTTGTTGGGATAAGGTTAACTATGGATCTTATTTCACATACATAACAATTTTGGGCTAAAATCGTGATTCAACCGTTTCACACAGCTATAAACATCTACCCGTTTAGACTTCAGTAGGGCATTTATCTGATCGGTCCATAAATACGATACAGCACGGTTTCACAAAACACTGATTGAGGTTAGAGTTAAAGGTGATTTGGGCATCCTCACAACATTTGTTGTAGGGTTGGGTAGGTAGCTATGTTGGTAGGTAGGCCCCCCTCTTTCAGGAGCAGTGTACGTATTGTACTGTACATACATGCATGTAATAAAGTAGCTAGCAAGTTGCAAGGTGGTACTGGTAGGCACTATAAATAGAAGAAGAAGCCCGACTCTCTCCATCTCCAGCAGACCATCCTCACCTATACCTTTCTCAAGTAACAATACCCACACACAAAAAATACTCACACACAGAAAAAAAATCCCCACACAGATCCAGTGAGCGAGTCGATAATGGGAGGGAAGGCGAAGTCCAAGTCCGGTGGTTCGTTCTGGAGCAACCTGTTCAGAGGCGGCCGCCGGTCATCCTCGTACGGTGACTACGGCGCGGCGGAGGAGTACGGAGGCGGCGGCGGGAGGAGGGTGTGGGCCAGCGACGAGGACAAGGCAGGGAAATGGGTGGCGGACCCTCGCATCGACACCAAGGCTTCTGCCTTCATCGCACACTTCCACGCTTCCCGGATCTCCGAATCCGAACACATGATCTTCCTCCGCCACTCCGCCGCCAACCCTCCTCCTCCCTCCTAACTAATTTATTCCTTCCACCCGCCGTCGCCGCCGATCAGTTTCCAGCTACACTTACATGCATGACGTGCGTCCCTCCGTCAACATGCAAACACACAAACAATAAAAGCCATATAGTGGTACTATTACCTAGTAGTCTTCTATTGTTTCTCGATCTCCACTCTTCTTCGATCCATTGTTTCAGATTAATTTAGTTTAAGCATCCTCCAATGTGTTGATTAGATTCTTCATCGTAACTGTACCTAGTTTAATTGGCAGCAGCTGCTGCTGTTTGTGAATATATATTTATATAAATCCTTTCCTTTTTTCCTATGTGTATTTTTCATATGTATTTTGGGTTTATGGTGGTTAAAGGTCATGATCACTGTGTTATCCTTTGAAGGGAATTTCTTGTTAGATTATGGATAATATGATTCATGGACTGTGAGGAGGGATTTTGATAATGCCATCTTTTCTATTATGAAAAGCGGTCTGCCCCTGGCCCCTTATACCAGAGACAAACAGGATGGAACCCATCAAAAGATTTCATCTTCGAACATTATTTTCCATGAATTCAGAAATCAAAGACTAGCTAGAGAGATTCATCTTGAGTAATTAAAGCATGCTAGGGTAAGATCATATTGGATTAGGGAGACTTGACATTTACATAGTCCTCTTCATCTCTACTTGAACATGTAGAGATTAGATTGGGCGAGAAGGTAATAACCATATGAAAATAGAAACCCATTCTTCACTTTGATATAAGCAATCGAATTCACAAATGTGAAGAATTAAGCTGTATATCCACTTTCACCCATCAAGACATGCAGGCTTTTGTCACAGTTTTTAGAGTTGATTTCATTTTGTGTTACTTGTAGTGTGTTGTTTCTTTGTGCAGTTCTTTCGCTTTATTCTTCCACATTTTGTAGCTAAGTTTTGTTTCAAACTCAGGTGGTGGCTGTAATATCTCGACTCGCTGGTTAAGGTTCAATTCGAAAATAAACCCGAGAGAGTTAAAGGGTTTGGGTATGAGAACTCTAACCTGATGGATGTGGATAACATCATGATCAATAAAGAATCTAATTTGAAAATTAAACTTTTTGAAAACCTTGGTATCCGCTTTGGAAAATATATGTTCACCAAAATAGGCGAAAACATTTCGCATAACATCTAGGTTCTTATTAACTTAACAATCGAGAAATCAAAGGATTGCTCCTCATGATTATTTTGCTGCATCAATCACCAAGTTATCGAATAAAAATCTCATAACAATACATGTCAAAAATACTAAAATGTAAATGAGAAATCTCCGAAAATATACCATAAACACAGAAACCAAAGAATAGATAAAAAAATCTTTGTAAAAAAAAAGAAGATAGCAGAATGATAAAATAATAATAAATTTTGATGAGATTCACTAATTTCATCTTCATAAACTCAGTTCATATCACTTTTAATAGGATTTTCAATTTTCGAAATATAGACTAACACTACAAGAAAAATGACATTTAGCGACAAAAATTTGCGACACATAAAATAATTGCTGCCTAAAATATGTTATACGTGACTAATATAATTTTTGCCTCCAAAAATAATAGTATTTGCCTCTAAAAGCTTTATTATTTTACATTTAATTTTAATTTAACTGAAATATTACATATAGCGGCACATTTATTGTAACTGTCATGTAAAATTTTGCCTTCATATCTGTGGACAATTTTATTATATTATTATATAAATATTTGTAACTTTTGGAGGCAGAAAATTATTTGCTACTATATATATGTTTTTATAGGCTAAAATAAGAGTTGTTATTGCTTCTTAAATAAATATATAACATGAAAAATCTCTTACTATAAAAAATAAAAGTTCCCACAATTGTAAGTCAAATACCAACAATTATAATTGTCTTTTGGTACAAACATCTGCCTCCAATGATAATATATATATTATAATATTTTGGAGATTAAAATGAATACCTTCAAAATTTAAATAATGTAAATAAATAATAAGGGGAGTATCCGATTGTGTGAAAACATATCAATAAATTAAAGGAAAACAATTTTGATTAGGAAAAAACCAACCCATTGAATTATTATTATACAATTGGGATAAGGAATCCTAAAGGAAGAGTGATTAGCGGATTCAATTGGTAAACAAATGGGACAAGGAAAAGAAAGCAGACTATATATAAAGATGGCTAGCTGATGGTATTTGCTTGTAGCAACTCAAAGAATCTCCATTCTTTCGACAAAAAAAAAAAGTGTCTCCATTCTCCAACGACGGCAGGGTAAACAGAGGCCAATATTTTGCGCTAAAATTTCATCCGGCGGGCAGGGAAACAGAGGCCAATATTTTGCGCTAGAATTCCCTCCGGTGAATTCCTTCAGGTGGTTATATTTTTGGAGGAAATTTAAATTTTTCGTGGGCATATGATTTTGGCGGTCAATTTCTGGAGTTCAACTGTTGAAGACTACGCCGAAAAAGGTTACCTTGCCTAGTTATGGTACCTTATTTAATCTATTGAATTTCTTATTTTTATTGATGATTTATTGGTCTGCTTATTATTAATGTGTTTTAATTGAAGATGGATAAAAGTTGGATGAACAAGTCAAGAAGTACGGAGGAATATATACAGGGGTTAAACAAATTTTTGGATTTCGCTTATGCTTCTCCATGTTGTCGCGATGCACAAATCTTATGTCCGTGCAAGAAATGTTGCAATCGGTCATGGTTATCTCGTCCAGATGTGCACAATCACTTGGTATGCTTCGGATTCTTCCCCAATTACACAAATTGGGTTTTACATGGAGAAAGTTCTTTCCATGCATCGCCTTCTACGGGCGCAACAAATCAAGATTATTTGGATACAACAACAAATTATGAGGACTCTGACATTGATCTCGATGACATGCTTGGTGATCTGGAGAACGACATTCAGTCCGGAATAGAAGCAGATGAAACAAACGCGGAGGTTCGCAAAATTTCGAGGTTGGTAGAAGCACATCAAACTCCACTATTTCCTGGTTGTACTAGTCATACCAAGCTTTCCTTCATCATCAGATTATTTCACGTGAAGTGTGTTGGAAAATGGTCCATCAAATCGCTTGATATGTTGTTAGAGTTATTGCGAGAAGTACTTCCTGCAGGAGAAACTTTAACCAAATCTCACTATGAATTGAAGAAAGTTATGTCAGAATTGGGGCTGAGTCAGAAAACTTATGACGCTTGTCAGAATGACTGCATGTTATTTTGGAAAGAGCATATCAATGCGTCCAAGTGTGTGATATGTAAAGCTGATAGGTGGCAAAATACATCGAGTGATCCAACTTCTTCATCGGAATCCAAGTCTACCAAAATCCCTTTCAAGAAGCTTCGCTACTTTCCAATAGGGCCAAGACTTCAAAGGTTGTTCATTACGCCAGACACAGCAAATTTGATGTGTTGGCATGCTGAAAGTCGTGTAAAAGACGGCAACTTGAGGCACCCGGCAGATTCTCCAGCATGGAAAACTTTTGACTTTCATCATCCAAATTTTGCTTCCGATCCCCGCAACGTTCGATTGGGTTTAGCGGCTGATGGTTTCAACCCTTTCAGATCAATGAGTACTTCACACAGCACATGGCCAGTTGTTATGATGGCATATAATTTGCCTCCTTGGTTAAACATGAAGGAGCCATACATGTTTTTAACCCTGCTGATTCCTGGTCCAAAGTCTCCTGGAAATGACATCGATGTGTATTTGCAACCGATGATTGAGGATTTACAAGGTTTATGGAATGATGGTGTAGAAACTTATGACGCATCTTTTAAGCAAACTTTTAAAATGAGGGCAGCACTGATGTGGACAATAAGTGACTTCCCAGGCTATGCAATGTTATCAGGATGGGGCACTAAAGGTTCGCTAGCATGTTCTTCTTGTCATAAGTATACACATTTGCAGTGGTTGTATCATGGTCACAAATATTGCTACTTAGGCCATCGCAGATTTTTGCCTTCTAACCATGTACTCAGACACCATAAAATATCCTTTGACAATCAACAAGAGTTCAGACCTGCTCCTAAACCACTGTCTGGGTCTGAGGTGTTAAATGAGTTACATGGCAAGCATATCACGTTTGGCAAAGAATGTCATAATGAGACTCTACCTCATGGTTGGAAGAAAAGAAGTATATTCTTTGAGTTGCCATATTGGGAGAGTAACCTACTAAAGCACAATCTTGATGTGATGCACATTGAGAAGAATGTATGTGATAGCATTCTCTTTACATTATTGAATGCTGCTGGGAGGTCAAAAGATGGTGTCAAAGCTCGTCAGGATATGCAATTGCTAAGGATAAGGGAGGGACTACATCCACAGAGGCATCCTTCTGGTAAGTTTTTCATTCGTGATGCATATTTTACGCTCACTTCTAGAAAGAAGCAAACTTTGTGTGGGGTACTGAAGAGTGTCAAAGTCCCCGATGGCTATGCTGCTAATATAGCTAATTGTGTGAACCTGCAAAATCGTAAAATCTCGGGTTTGAAAGGTCATGATAGTCATATTATAATGCAAAAAATTCTTCCTTTGGCAATAAGAAGAGTTTTGCCTAAAGCGGTGAGCAAGCCAATAATCCAACTATACTCCTACTTCAAGGAATTATGTTCAAAGGTGGGTCGTGTAGAGAACTTGTCTCGCTTAGAGGCACAATTGCTTTAACTCTATGTCAGTTGGAAAGAATCTTTCCCCCAGCATTTTTCGATATTATGATCCACTTGACTGTCCATTTGGCGTCTGAGGCCAAGTTAGGTGGTCCAGTACAAGCAAGATGGATGTATCCAGTTGAGAGGTATGTTGTTATAGTATGGTATATATTTTAATTCACCTGTATATTTTTGCTTGCTCTATTATGTATAGAATGCATGATATAAGTTCGTTAAATAACTAGCCTTTGATTGATGTAGGTTTTTGTCTACATTAAAATCATATGTTGATAACAAAGCACAACCGGAAGGTTCAATTGCTAAAGGATACCTTGCTAAAGAGCGTTGGGACTTTTGTTCGAGATATTTACAAGGAGTGGAGACACAATTCAATCGCCCATCTAGAAATGAAGACAACCTTCAGCGTGGAGTCGATTCTACAACCAATGTAGTATCCAAGATATTTCCAAATGTCGGGCCTCCATTGAGGAAAGGGCGTCTCCAAACTCTAGATAGAGACATGTTGGAAAAGGCACATCAATACGTCCTCACTAATTGCACGGAAGTAGCCCATCCTATTGAGTAAGTGAGGGATGAGTATCATTAATATAAGTATTAATTAAGTTATTAAAGGATTGCCTGATCGTGTGCTGAATTTCTGCAGGATGCATCTTTCCTTGCTAAAAAGTCAAAATCCACGTGCTACACCTCATACCATTCAAAGGCTTCACAATTCAAGATTTCAATCATGGTTTAAGGAGCAAGTAAGTTTATTTTCTTTGCATAGTTATAGTTACTATTTGGGATTTTTTTTAACATCAACTAATCATGGTAAAAACACACGATGTATGTCACAGGTTGAATCTAGATCCATAGATATTCCTATAGCCGATTTAGAAGATTTTGAACAGTTGGCCCAAAAACCTAGCGAAGTGGTGCGGTTTTTCAAGGGATACATTGTTAATGGGTTTCGATTTCACACAAAAAAGTTGGAGCAAAAGAGGAAAACACAAAATAGCGGGGTGATGGTAACAGCAAGCACTCAGAGTTTTGCTAGTGCTCGGGATAGAAATCCAATTTATGGTAAGATGAGTTACTATGGTGTCATTCAGGAGATAATAGAATTGGATTACTCATATGGTAAGAAAGTAGTGCTATTCAAGTGTGACTGGGTGTCAAATGACAGAGGCTTGAAGCAAGATGATTTGGGATTCACTCTGGTGAATTTTAACCGGCGAATGGATGACAAAGAACCATTTATTATGGCTTCACAGGCTCCACAAGTGTTTTATGTTGATGATCCCATTGAGAAAAATTGGAAAGTGGTTGTCAAAACTACACCAAGAGATTTATGCGACATGAGTATAGAAGGAGACGAGGAAGATGTTGATACTTATTTACAAAGTGAGGCTGTAAGTGGAGAATTTTCGGAAGACCTTCCAAATGATGGAGATGCTTATTGGATTAGTGCAAGCGGCGATGGATCTCTTGTAGATGCTCCGCCTGAATCATCTGCTGGAATCAGAAGAAGGGCAGGTTTTGAAGCACCACAAGTGGAAGATGACGATGAAGTCGGGGATGATAATATGGATGTTGAGTACTAGCTCTAATTAAATTTGATTTCGGTTATGTTTGAGATATTTTTGTTTCTATATTTTGGACAGTCAGATTTATTTGAAGAAGGGAATATTTTTTTTTAGAAAGTGAAGGAGGGAAATTTATTAACAATGTGAGTACATATTTACAAGAAGGAGGGCAGGTTTTTTTGATCGGTAATGGTAAATGAAAAAAAGTAAAATATTAAGATGCAGTAAATAAAACTTAGCGTTGCGTTCGGATAAAAAAAACTTAGCGTTGTTTTTTTTTTGTTTGTTAAAAGCGTATCGTTTTAATTGGACAAAAAAAAAAACAGAATGAGGAGAGAGGATGCTGGACAAACCTCACCTCCTTCTTCCTTCCGCCTTCTTCGCCTTTCATCTCCTCTCCAACTCTGCAAACCACGAACACCAGCCAAAATGAATTGGACAAATAATCTGTCCCGCCAAAACCCAAGAGTAGAATAAAAAAGAAGGCGGGATACTCATAGGAGATGTTGGGCGGGTGGGAAATTAGAATTTTTCAGACCTAATTAGGTTTATTATAGTTGCACCCAAATCCTCATTCCACCCCTTCATCTCCGCGTTCATCCTCTCCGACGACGTCAAGTTGGTTTTCTTAACCTAAGGTTCCGGAGACACGGCTCACACATTCCCTGGTTAGTTTTCGTATTTGTTTCCCCTGCTCTCTTTAGATAACTCTCTCGTCCCTCTCCCTCCTTAGTCTACTGCTCTTTGTCGAAAGGAAAGAGGTCAGGTAAGCTGGTCCTGCTTGGACGAGTCGATTTGAAGGAGATTAAACAAATGAATTTAGTAGGAGAATCGCATATCTCTAGGTTTCCTGACTTCTGATTTGTGTCAACTTGTGCCACTGTTGGATCCGCTTTACTATCCTAGACTCCTCGTTTTGTTTACAATGATTCATTGTGTTCGGCAACTCGCGTGTTCCATTTACAAATGTCTGTAGCTAGAAAATTGCAGGTGGATAGATGTAAGACTACTTTGTTTGCTCTCTAGAAAATTGCAGGTGGCTAGAAAATTGCATACGAATACTTTGTTTGCTGTCTACTGCATTTTTAAGAATAGGTATATTGTTGTTTGCTGTCTGTTGCATTTAGAATAGGTGGATTATGAACATCCGAGATTTATTTGCAGGTGGATAGAAGAGGAAAATTAGAAAATTCACTGCTTCCTTGTGAAGATGAATCGACTGTTGATGCGTCAACGAACGATTGAGAAGAAAAAAGGAAGAGGGCCAACTATGTGCAAGGATATTTGGGGTCTACCTCCGGGTCAAAAGATTTTCGTGGCCATGAATGATGATGGACAACCAGTGGGGGATGGTCAAAATAAGCTAGCTAACTTCTTGGGTGTTATAGCTAGAAATGGTGCATATGTTCCTATCCAATATGATGACTGGAGGAAAGTTCCTGATTCTTACAAGATAAAAATCGGGAAACTGATACAGGTAGAGTATATATATGTAAGGTATATGTCTATTAACAGTATGGGGTACTCTTCCCTTCTAATTTATATTCATTTATTAAAACCTGGAAAAGTTCATCATTGATCCGCTAACTGAACCATGGGTGATGACATCATTTAGCAAGGAATGGAAGGATTTCAAGGCAGCGGTGAAAGCGAACTGGTTGGAGAATGGTATAAAAGATACGAGAGTATCTCCTGCTGACTGGGAATGGCTGATGAACTTTTGGAAAAGTGACAAGGCTGCGGTATGGTTTTAGGATTTCAAGGAAACTCTGGTTTGTTTTTACTAGCCTTTTTCTTTTTAATTAGGAAAGGTTGTATGTAGTATTATGTTTATTTACAACATACATGCATGTAGTAGAAGATCTTCGTCGTATATTGAACTTGTTTCAATCATTACAGCATAGAGAAGAAGTAGCAAAAAATAACCGAAGCCAAATGACATCAACACACACCTTGGGATCATCTGGTTATGCTAACCAGAAGAAAGAAATGGTGATGTTTACATTGCATACATTCACTCTTTAATATGAGTGTTTAACAGCGGCGGATCCAGAACACAGAAGTGCACTGGGCCGCATTTTATTAGAAAATTAGAATCGTAAAAAAATATAATGATTATAATTTTTTTTACAATGTAAATTGTACACGACGGTATTTTAATTTAGCGAATGCATTAATAATGGAGTCCACATCCATATCAATAGTATACACTGTTTCAAATAAAATACTTGAGCAATTGGCTACAAATTCATCGCTCATTTTTGTTGCGTATATCAATTTTCACATGTTTCATTGTTGAAAAGGTTATCTTCGTATTAGCTATTGAAACGAGAGGCGTCAACACTAGACAAATCAATCTACTAATCAATTTGCATTGTGTTTCCATCCCTATATCCACCAGCTGCTCTAGTAAATTTTCAAGGAAACAAACCTCATATATGTTTTAGTCTTTTACGTTTTAAACTTTTTGAATTTTAGGTTTCATTGTTTTTTAGACGAATAACCTTTGGGGTTAGAATTTATAAGCTAAATTTAGAGTAGTGATTTTTAATATGTTCATTTGAATCATTTTTCTAATTATACCCAATCTTATTTTAAATAACAAAGACCCGAATATCTAAAATCGAAAAATTAATAAGCCCTATACTAACTATGGATCCAGAGGAGGGCTGGGCCGGGGCCCGGGGTGGCCACCCCCTGGATCCGCCACTGGTGTTTAATTATATGACTAGTAATTAGTTTGTGGTATATTGTACTCTCCAGAAAGAATCCAGACCAGATAAGTCAGAGCCAACTGAAGCTGAGGTTTATGTTGCTGCCCATGTACATCATGATGGGACTCCATTGACTGCAAAAGTTACAGAGGTCATTGTAAGTATCATGTTAAGTTTGACTTATCTCTTTGTGGTTTGGTCATAACGAATTCATTGTCAAATGTATTAAACATGTTTTCAGGAGAAAATTGCTGATGGTACGGGAGGAGATGACCCTCTTACACTTGTCTTAGGGGAAAATAAGTGTAAATATCGGCCTAGGACATTTGGATTAGCACCAGCTTGGGGTGTGAGAAACTCTCGCAAGTCAATCATAAAGACGGCACTAGAGGTCCAAATAAATGTAGATGAAAAAGTGGTGAAAGTACAAGAAGATATGAAACAAATGGAAGCTAGACATCAAGATGAGATGAATCAGATGAAAGCAGAACAAGTCAGAATATTCACTATCCTTGAGAAGATGAATCCAAATGCACTGTTGAATTTAAAAAGTGATTTGAATACTTCACCTAATGTTGCTGGAGATGAACCGAGTTTGGTAAAATTTCATAAGTTCTTTACGTAAATAATATTTCCTATTTATTTGTAAAACTAGTACACATATCCATTTTTAATTTTACTTTATTATGTCTGATATAGGATCACACAAGACATGTGGATGATGAAGGCATTCACAATGATGACTCATCTACCCAGGTTAGTGTTCCATCATTCAAAGTACCACACAAAATTCCATTTTCTATTATTAATTGATGCATACTACTTTGATTCGGTTATAGGATGCCTACAATTTAGGAGTTGGTTCATTCCTCTCAATCTTACAATCTCCACCTAGAAGAGTTGAGACTACACCAAGAAATGTAAGCACTTATATACAAGTACATTGTTTTATTTAGTCTAAGCTAAGTGTTGACTACTCAACCGCTTTACTGAAGGGGGTAGTCAGGAAAGAGTCAACACCATTAGCCTCTTTCCCATCTCTCCGTACTACCTTGACAGACATGTATAGTTAGCAGGGTTCAAGAAGGCGCGCCTAGGCGCACGCTTAGGATCAATTAGGCGCTAGGCGGTGGAGGATCGCCTTGACCATAGGCGTTGTAAAAGGCGCTGGTGGCGCTTAGTAGGTAGGAATAGCGCTTAGTTTACGCCTAGTGGAGAGAAGGCGTGCCTGGGCATTCCTGGGCGAGCTTAGGCGGTTAAACCCAATACTCTTCGTTTTGTCCTAGAAAATCAGAAAATTGCCTCTTGCCCTAGAAAATCAGAAACATGGGAAGGGGATGACCATGCTATGTATGTATTCGTAGATGAGGATGATGAATCATATTGTGCACCCTCGAGTATTGTTACAGATGCAATGGCGGGTGAACAGAGTGAGCTTCGCAGGAGTGCACGAGTGAGAGAGCTCCATGATGAAGAATTAGAGTCTGAAGAGGAGGAGGATGGTGAGGAGATTGCTTTTGAGGATGATGAAGATGAAGTGTGGCTGGACGGACCTACTTGGATGATGAAGAATGAACATTTTCCTATGAACTTATTGACTATTGTTTAGTATTTCGACATTTTATGAACTTGTGATTCTAGGAAGTGGTCACTATTTGCTTGTTATTTGTTATGTTAAGTGTTTACTCTTAAGAACTAGGCATTGCTAATTTTATATGCACTTGGATTATATGAGTTATTCCAGAAAACATGAAATATTTGAGA